GCCTCCTCGCTGCAACCCCCTCACTCTTTCTTCGGCGCCCAGCATCGGGACCCTCTCCACTTCTATCCCTGGGTGCTTCGGAATCGCTTCTTCGGTCACCGCTTCCAGGGTGAGTGTCCATGCAGTGTCCATGACATAGGGACGCGGGAGATGCTTGGTGCCGCGGCGGGGCTGTTCAGAAGTTGTTGCCTACAAGGCTCGGGGATCAGCCTTGGCTGTGCGCAGGCGATTAGCCTGTAATCTGTTGTGTTAGTCTCCCACCCGGGAAGTGAGGCTGGGACCTCCACCCTTTCCAAAGAATGAGGCTGGTTAGGACACAAGCCCAGGAGCATCCTAGGAGCTTTTTCTGACCCTTCTTTGGCCAACCTTAGTTTCCTTTATGACTAAACTGGTCCTATCCCTAAAAGTGAGGGACCATCCGCCCTTCCCGCGCCAGAGCTTTGAGCTGTGACCGTACTTCGCTCTCGTGGTCATCACAACTCTTGCCGCGTCGAGGCAGGGGAAAGTCCACCTGCGCACCCTGGCTCTGTGGGAAGCAGGGCAGTGTGGTGTGTTCACTTCGCTGTCTTGGGACATTTCTCAGCAACCTTGGCCACACTTCTGCAAGTCACATGTGGCCTCTCCCGGATCTAAAGTGGGAGAAGGTCTGCAGTAAGCAAACAGGCTTTCTCTACCGCTGACCTCCTCCGGGAGCCCACTGAGCTGCTAGAAACGCAGGACCGCCATTCTTAAGTGGGGGGCAGGGAAAGAGGGCTTTTAAGGTCATAGCTAGTTTTAGCCCCCCAGGGTCTGCAACCGCAATTGGTTTGCTAATTAAGACCCCTCCAAACGCCATACACACACACACACACACACACACACACACACACACACACACGCCAGTTATCTGACTTTCTTAAAGAAAAGAGTTTATTTTCTTCCATGGATTTGTAGTTTTTCCTTTCTCTCATTAAGAAAAAAAAAAAAGATTGGCCTTGATACCTACAGCAATTTCTTTAGTTCCCACTTTGATATAGACTGAACCTCAGCCTTCTGAGTTCCCATAGGTAAATTCAGCATTTCGTGAGACAGCAGCAAAAAGAAGGTTGGCACTTTGGCTCCAGGAACTACTTTGACAGTGAACCAGGGCTACACGACCAAAGTGAATCTGATATTTGGTACAATCAGTTATACATAAAAAATATTTTTGAAGCTTTAGCTATAGTTAGTTACTTGACTGCTTCGGAGAAAGCTATTTGGAGAGGGTCTTGGTTTGTCAGACAATTACCCCAGTCTCACCTGGCCACCACATACTAACCGAGAAAAAATCCCATTCACCCAATAGCTTAATTACCTCAGCAAGTATTTAGGTGGGCAGATTTTTCTCCACAAAGATTTGTCCGGGCGGGAGGGGGAAAGTCTGCGGTATTAGCTAACATTTCCCACCACTTAACATCAATGCTTACTACTAAAATAAGGTTTTATTCAGATTTAGCTAACTACCCGAGTCCCTCGTGGGCACTATCTTCAGCTTCTCGCCCACTGAGTTTTGAGTCTTCGAGGTTGTGAGTCCATGGACGAAGGGACCTGGGCTGGTGAAGGACCAGAGGCCCTGGAGGAGAGGGTGGCGCGGGTTCCTAGCCTAGTCCAGGGTAGGAATACTCAAGGTGCCTCCTGGATGGGACTTTCCCGCCCTTAGTCCGGAGTCTCGCGCCCTTCACTCCATCTTTCGCACCTCTGGCCTCGAGCGCTGTTACGGCTGGCCCGGGGCTGGTGGCACCTTTAGAGAGGTCCGGCTTTCGGGCGCGGACCATCCTCAGCCAGGCGACGCCAATACATTCTTTGCAAAACCCTCTCGGAAATTCCCGCTGCTCTCTGAGCCATCGGTTCCAGCTGATACGATGTGGAGTTGCACAAACGGTGGGCCTTTTCTCTCCAGAACCGCGTCTCGACGCGGAGGATTCCAGTGTGGCCGTTCCTGCGAACTCGGAAGTCGGATGGGCTCTGGCCGACCTTTTCAACTCCGAGACGCGGTGGCCCTGAAGCCTGCGTCCCCGCGACGCTACCTCCTCCAGATCCCGCCGGGCCTCGGGGCTAAAAACCGAGCCGTCCCAGGCCCTCCGGCGCCGCGTTTTCTAGAGAACCGGGTCTCCGCGATGCTCATTTCAGTCCCGTTTTGATGCAAGAAACGAAACCCTACCAGAACGAAAAGGAATCGCTTCTGTGCTTCTGTGCGCAGCGCTTTAGGGCAGTGCGAGCCGGTGGCGCCTGGAAGCCGCTTCTCCCCTAAGCGAAGAGCAGAAGTAGGGGTGCACGGTCAGGACCTCTGAGCTGGGGGCCAAACGGGAGGAATCCACGGAGATTGAGCGAGGTTGGCGTCGTTTTGGTGAAATTTCCCAGAGATCGGGAACTTTCTTGCCTAGAGAGCTACGTCTGAAAGGGACTAAGGGAGACCCAGCCCTCCCAACCCGCTGCGGCTGTGGGTACCAGCTTCAAAGGGCGCCTTTGTTCACGCAGGAGGAGGAGAAGGGAAGAGGTTATCTCACTTTATGGTCAACCTCTCCCGGTTCTAGCTCCAGGCCTTGCCGCCGGGGCTCCAAGTCTCTAGCTAATGTGGCCTCTCTATCTAGGACTGGAGCTCCAGCCCAGGGAGCTTTGGATTCTCGCTCCTGCTGCTTCTCGAAGCCTGCTGCTTAGAGTCTCCATTGCTAACTCCCAGCCATCGCCTTGCAGAGGCCTGCAGAGAAATGTGGGAATTTTCACATCCTAACTCCTAATTCCAGCAGAGGATGGGTTCATGTTCCTCTCCGATGGGTGTCTGAAGCTAATACCTTCTCTCACGGCCTGAAATTGCTGAGTCCAAACAGGCTGCATCCCAAACGCAAGCTTGTTCTGTCCTGTGGTCCAGTCAAGAACTGTGTAGGCTCCCCTGCAAGTGGTCAGGAGGGGTGGACCCTTTCTCATAGGTAGAAGAAAGAAGCGCCAGGTACACAGATACCTCTCCACCCTTGTCTTTACAGAAACATGTAGCTATTGACTAATATCGTCGGATGTTTAGTGTTGTGCTAAACATCATGATTCTCTGTGGGAAATTCTTTGTTTTTTTAATGAAATAACTTGTCATCATTTGTCAATATTTTGGATAATTTTATAGCCTCCTGCTTCTTTCATAGTTGAGTCAGAAAGACTACATTTCAGCCCGTGCATATAGACACATACTGGGGCATATGCTAAGCACTACAACAAGACGTTCAGTTTACCTGAGCCAGGCAAGACTGGGGACTGAAGGCAAAGAAGCCAAAGAAGCCTTGGTCAGGACAGAGCTTGTGCTGGTCATCCTCATCCTGTGGGTTTTAAAAAGGCAGAAAGCACTTTCCCCCCCACTACCCAGGTGACTGACACACTCCCCAGCAGGACAGCCATGACCAAACACTGCCACAGAGCTCAGTCTTGCTTGCTCAGCCCCGCACTTCCTGCGCACCTCAGCATCCCTCTTAGCCTTCTGTGGCCTTCCTTTCCGTGCGGCAACTTCACTTCTGCATAGGTGAGGCCAGACAGCAACTGAGATCAAACCTCTGGAATAAATGGTCTCTCCCGCAGGTCTCTCTCCTCACATCCCTCCCGCTGGATCATTTGTCCAGAGGAAACCCCAGTTGGGGCTTTACCTGGACTCTGAGCAATGTTGGCTTTTGAAGAAATTCATTCAATAAAGGCTTCTCACCACTTCTCTCACCTTACCTCAACTTCAAAACTTGGAGTCTTCTTATTTACTCCAAGAATAGGCTTTTCATGTTTTCCCCTCTTTCTCTCTCTCTCTCTCTCTCTCTCTCTCTCTCTCTGGGAGTCCACCTCTCTGAATGTCCTTCTACTACCCAACTGAAATTCCTCCTCCTTCAGTCAGGCCTGAGGATCCTGGGTCTGCTTTTACCACCAATGGCTTAGGGGGCAAATGTCCCTCCTTTACTGGCCAGTGACACACACACACACCCATCCTGTTGTGTAGTAGTGCAGACCCAACCACTTGAAATGGGCAGGTGGTGGGAGGTCAGTCCCAGACAACTATGTTCCAAACAAGATTCCAGCAAGCAGTTGACTGGCCCAGGCCTCCAAAGCCCAGGGACAGTCAACCACAAGAGGGATACAGTTAGTGTACTGGCTGAATTTTAACAAGGGCACCTCATGACTTGACTCTTTCACTTACATAGTTGTTCCAGAAATGGGAGATCTCATCTGAATTGTCCAGATTACTGTCTTCAGAGTAAAACAGTAGGTCCAATTGAGTCAACCCAGTCGCCATCTCTGAAGAAATTAATTGGATCAGTCAATCTCAACAGCTAACTCTGTCAAAACATCCTATCTAGGACTCTGTGTTGCTGGGTCAGGGGAACTGATACAGGCCACTGTGTGAGAAGCAGTGTTTGGGGATCTCAGGGCTTTTTTGAGTCCCTGAGAATGTGCCACTGTGTGAGGACCCAGTGGAGGGGGGTGGGGGTGGGGGTTACCAAGCTGGAGCTGTGGGTAGAAGCCTGCTTTGGCTTTTATACTTCCTGACCACTACCCCTGTCTTACTCAATCCTTTTCAGTGTAGGAGCAGAGTGCGGGAGCTTTGCCAAGGGACAGTCACACTCTGAAATCTTGTACAGTAATGGGAGGAAAAAAATGGAGGGGAAGCTGGAGTGTATATTTACACACACCCATAGGGAAACGACTATATCTGTGTATGTATATATGTGCATATATATTTATATATATTGGGAGAGCGGCTTCTAGATATTTACTTCCATGTTCTTTCAGCTCAGGACTTCTCAGGGAGGAAGCAGGAGCCTTTCCCATGAGAGCAGCTTCCATTCTCCCAGCCTTCCCTTATGGGCCTGCCTTCACAGTGTTTAAAACCTGAGGAGAGAAGGGAGGGGCAGAAAGAAGTAGATTTGAGAACTCCAGGGTCTGCATGCTTGCTGGACCTGGGCTTGCTTTTACCTCCTGCCTAGGCCTGCTATCAGGATTTTCAGCAAGCTAGTAGTCAGGAGTACTTTAAGCATGCCTTAGAATCTTTAGATGACTTCTAGTTGATCTACCTATCAGCCTTGCTTCCCCCCCACCACCACCACCACCACTTTTCTGACCCCCAGCTCTATCATCTCTATAGCTGGTCTAGGAGGGGATGCTTCAGGACTAGATAATTAAAAGATAATCAATCTTTGGGGCCTAGGTGGAGGTAGCGTTGCAAGGGCGCAGGAAGAGACCTAAGGGACCTCTGCCATCCCTTGGCCTTTCTGCTTCCCCCTGGCAACGCTGGATTTGGACGGGCAGGGCCTTCATCAGGCCCGGACTCGCCTCTTGGCTAAAAGAGGATTCTGCTTGTGGTCCCCTGCGGGTAGCTCCAGAGTGTGGTTTCAAGGCAGCGGCAAGGAAAAAGGGAGAAGTGGAGGAGGTGTCAGAATTGCAGAAGTGGCAGGGCCTGCGACTCACCGCGCCCCTTCTCTCTGTCTATACCTGCGCGTGCTGCTATTGCCTCTGGGCCGCAGCAAGCGACGTTCCCCAGGACGGGCTGCTTTTGCACGGGCCCTTCGCACGCAAGCCCAAGCGGATCCGCACGGCCTTCTCGCCCTCGCAGCTGCTGCGGCTGGGACGAGCCTTCGAAAAGAATCACTACGTGGTGGGCGCCGAGCGGAAGCAGCTGGCTGGCAGCCTCAGCCTCTCCGAGACGCAGGTAAGCATCCCCTTGCCATAGTAGCCCTCAGAGTGCCTGAGGTGGGTGGTTGGGTGCAGGGCTCCCTATTCCTCGGGTTCCAAAAGCCACCTGCAGCGTCGCATCCCCCCAAATCCTACCCTTTCTCTGTACGTGCCCTGATAAGTTGCAGAAGTGTTGTTTGTAACGTGACAAGGTCTCCCTATGTAATCCTGTCTGGCCTCGAACGAACTCTCAGCAATCCTCCTGTCTCTGTCTCCTGCGTGCTGGGATCACATTAATAAGCCAACTTGCCCAGCTTTCCCAGATTTTATAATCCGTGCTAAGGATCCCACGAGAAGCATAGTAGATGGAATTTGATCCGCAGCGAGCCCAGACTCCGAAGATTCCTAGCCTAAAGATCCCGTCTAAAAGACACAGCACCCACAAGTCTGGGGACTCGGGGACGTGATCCGGTCTCCTCTGCCCTGCCTGATGTTAGTAGGCAAAGCTGGTGAGACCTCAGCTGACCTCCAGCACCTGTGGTATGTGGACAAAGAAACTTCAGCTTCACAACAGAAGAGTGAGTAGAGGTCAGCTGACCTAACTGGAGTGTGAGAGTGGCCCTGATCCCCAACGGGGCCAGCATCAGCTAGGGCTCTGAGGACTGTGGCACATTCGCTGTTCGCTGTGTGTGTTCGTTCGCTGTTCACCTTAAAGCCTTTCAAAGTGTCTTGGGAACTGAGACAGTAGACTTAAGCACGCAGAGGCTGCTGAGTCGGGGAAGGAGTGAACTGCATTGGTGTTGGGGGCTTGAATGGGGTGATATCACAATTCCCAGGTAGGGTTTGGTAATTGATTAAAGAAAAACATTCAAGAAGTCTTGGAGAATGGTAAGGAGGCAAGCATGAAGGATTTTCTTGTAAGAGCCTCGTCATATATGCACACGGGGAGGAAGTGCCACCAAATGCTTGGTCGGTTCTTGTGTACAGGACTGAAGCAGCTGAGTGACTCTCAGCCGGGCTGGTGTACTGGACTGCTTTCCAGTTCAGGCCTTCAGACCCTGCCAGCTCCTGGGCGCCCAGCTTAGTATCTGCTGGTATGGAACCTTCCCCTGCTCTCTCCACCTAATTTGCCCTTACTATACAATTCCCAAACAACTGCCCCTCTTCAGGTAGGGAGTCTGCCCATGCCTTCCTATTAGCTTCTGGGATAACATGGGGCACTAGTCTGGTAAAAAGAGCGCCTAGCTGCACCCCAGCTCCTTATGCTATCTTACCCACTGGTCCTGGCATTTTGGCTACAGTATCTGCTGCTACCCCATATAAAAGTTGAAGCATGGCCTCCTTCCAGGCTATCACAGGACAGCAGAACCTGTAGGTTTTCAGGGTTGCTGGTTGACAGCTCTAACTGGAAAAAAAAAATCTTACAAAGCAACAGAGTTAATTTCAAAAACTGTTTTAAAGAAATCACTGTTTAAAAAATAAGCTAATAAAATAACACCTCTTTTCCCTCCTGGCAAACAGTGCTTTACAATTATTGTTTAAAACAAGGTGTCAACTTAAGAATGGTGTTTATAATTAACTTCATGTAAAAAGTAATATTTATTAAATGTTAATTGCAGAAATGCAAGAAAACAAAACAGTTTATAATTCTACCACCCACAGATTAGCACTTGTTGAAATCATGTCATTGTTTTTAAACTTTCCATTTTTTAACACAGTGAGAACATGTTTAATTAATTTTCTTTCAAACTGGATCTAGCTTCCTCTCAATTTTAACTTCTAGCCATGCCAGTTCATAGTTAGTAGGCTGGTTGTTGCTTTCACATTTCTTATGGGACATTTCAAACATACATTTAGAACAAAACCAAAGAGATTGATAATAATGTGTCTAGCTCTGCTACCCAACAGGACTCTGAGTCAACCCTATTCCTTCTGGAATGAAGTTCTTGTTACATACAGAACAACACCCCACTCCCATCACAGCATTACCTGAGGGGCTGAGAAAAAAAAACGTCCTCGTAGCCCCATCTTTCTAGGTAAAGACTCCAAGGTGGGGAAATGGGCTAAGTAGAGTATCCAAGTCAGCAGAAGTGACTTCAGTGCCTGTCTGCCCACTATGTGCTTAACCTCTCTCAGCTGTCCCTTCATCCAGAAAAAGTTATTTGAGGAATCTTACATGAACTCAGGTAACATCCATTCCCATCCCTTGTCAGGTCCATTCTCTTTGCTTAAAGTAATATGTCAAATTAGTAGCATAATAAGGGCCTTGCCTAGGTGTCCCCTAGCCAACACTCTTCTTGCCACATTCAATATCCACCCTTTCTGTTGCCCTTGAAACATACTATATGGATGTACACTATATAATTAGCTAACTATCCATCTCTCAGTATTTGACAGGCAAGCTCTCCTGTCAAGTATCTGTTACTCCAATCAGCTCCCTACTACGCATTTCTAAAATGATACCTACAGCTCTCAGGCCTCTGTGCTCTGCCCCTCACATGGAACTGTCTTTTATCTAGCAACCTGTATCTGTCTATACTCATTAAACTCTCTCCCCAAATTGGTAAATGCTTTCTCCAAATTACATGCTTTTCTTCCTAACGATAACCTCCATGTGCCCATCTGTTGATTATCTCATCCATTTTGTCCTCTGTATGTCCACCATCCATCTCTAGAGAGCTATTGGCAACTAACAGTATCTTCACACACCTGCCACTATTACACATTATTCTGTCAACTCAACTCTGACTTGAACTTCTCCCCAGACTTCAGTTGTCACATTGTTGTGGCCGAATGAAATAAATGCCAGGGTCCTCTCCAGCCTTTGAATTTGTGAGGCTTATCCATCCACTTTCTATTTCTGACTTTTCTCTCTCTGTGTGTGTGTGTGTGTGTGTGTGTGTGTGTGTGTGTGTGTGTGTGAGAGAGAGAGAGAGAGAGAGAGAGAGAGAGATCCCTCCTCCACGTTCCCAGAACTCAGTGTCTCCCTTGCCTTTCCTAATATGCATCAGATCTTTGCTGTTATGACTTAATTATCTATCATGTCCATATGTCATTCTGTAGATCAGCTGCATCCATCTCTCAGGGATATCCAAAAGATGCTCTTGGGACATCCAAGATGCAGTCCAAGGGAGAAACATTTTCCAACAGCTCCCTGGGTAATTATCGTGAACAATAGGTCTGAACATCTTAATTGTGGGGAGCAGGGGTCAAGTTTATTTCCTCATAGGATCCAGCACAGTGCTCAGCATGGAGGAGATATTCAGTGACTGTGTACTGCATAAAAGCCAGACATGGGGCTGGAGCGATGGCTCAGTGGTTACGAGTATTAGCTGTGCTTCCAGAGGACTAGGGTTCAATTCCCAGCACCTATATACAGCTCACAACCATCTATAACTCAAATTCCAGGGGATCCAACACCCTCTTCTGGCCTCTGTGGGCACTACATGCTTGTGGCAAACATATACATGTAGGCAAAACATTCATACACATAAAAGTTAGAAAAAAATGTTTGTATCCAGGCAGGCTGGTGTTTACATATAATCCCAGCACTCAGGATGTGGAAGCAGGAGACTCAGAAACTCAAGGTCATCCTGAGATATATTAAAGTCATCCTTGTCTATGTGAGACCCTGTCTCAAATCAACAAATAAAACACTGACCGAGCGGGCACATTTGTTTTGGTCCCACACTCGGCCAGCCTTTATCAGTTATTCCTTTGCTCTCTGCCTTGGCTGCTCCTTCACTGTTTGCTCCTCCAGTTATCCAGTCATATTGTCATTGCTGATTGTTGGTTTTGATGGTATAAAGGCAGTCTGTGGATAAGTCTGAGATAGGGAGCTCTGTGCTGGCAGAACTCCAGCTTGAGGTGTTGGGATGCGGGTAGCCTGAGCTACCTGATGCAGAGCTATATAGATTAGCTCTGAGTGGTGTTCATGCTGGGATGACCTGTGAGGTGTTCCATCCAAAAGGTGGAAAGATGGACCCTGGGACACAGACAGTTCTCCATTTTGTGTTGTGTTCATTTGCTTCTCACCATTGCCATACAGACCTAGGGTATGAGCAGGAAGGGAGTCATCTAAGCTTGCATCCATATGGCTGCTTGGCAAATCCAGACCTGGGTCTGATCAGCACCTCTAACACCATGAGGATGTGAGCTCACCATACAAGACACCTGCAGGCCGACTTTCATGGACACCAAAAATGCTGGGCCATACCTCAGGTATCCCTCGGATGCCAGTGGGCAGTCACAGGACACATGGGAATGAGTGCTGTTCCTGGATAATTAAGTGTTCCAGTGACCCCTAGAATAGGCCAGCAGTGTCTCCTTTTGCTTTTGCTGAGCTGTGAGGAAAAAGGCAGGAATGTGGTCTTGGACCTTGGAGAATCTTCACATGATGGTGAAGGCTAAATGCAATGCTACTTGCCTGCAGGCCAAGCATAGGGTAAGCAACTGGAGTCCTCCTGAAGACACAGCTCAGACTGAGGGGGATCAGAGGAGACCAGATAGGTGAGAGGTTCTCGGCAGGCTTCTGGCCTGGAAGGTTTGGAGGACTGTGTAGGATTACAGGTGGGAGGAGAGAAAGGCAAGGATTTGAAGAAGGCAAACTAATATGGAGATAGAGATGCCAAAACCAGCTGCCATCTTGGGGCTTGAGAGCAAGGAGGGAAAGAGATCTTGGGAAACTCCAATACATCTTTACCTACCCATGGGTTTTCCTCACAGACATTTGGGTGGGTGCTTTCTACAATGGGATGTTCTTCCCTTGAAGGAATAGATAAAAGGGAGATAGCCAAGTGACTTGAATTTTAGGGAAAAGTAAAACAAAACAAAACAAAACAAAATAAAACAACAACAACAAAAACTATGACATGAACTCATTGTGGTTCTGGGATGACACATCCTTTCTCCTAAGTCTTGGCTGATAGTCTAGAAGATCTACTTGGTGGGGTACAGAGAAGCTAAGTGAGGTGAGGGTTGTTCTCTGAAGTACTGGGACAGGGACACAGCCCTGAGAGGCTGGTGAGTTTAGTAGAGTTAGGGTGAGGATCTAGGGCTCGGAGGGAGCAGGATACTAAATGGCTCACAAGGAGAGAGGGTTATAGCTAGTGGGCAAGTTGGAGGTGACCTCAGCTTGGGGGAGTGAAGGTTGAGCCGACTCTGTACATAGGAAGGCTGACTTGATCAAATGATAAGAAATGGATCCCCCAAGAGAGGGCAGGGAAGGGAGCAGGCTGGAGGGTGGCTTGATTGATGTCTCCAAGCTGCTGTCTATTCTGAGGACTTGCTGTGTCTGAGACCGACAGACTCAGAAGACATGCTTAAATTAAAGCAGAAGAGAGCACAGTAGAACATAAGGAGGAACTTCCCATGTAGAGTTGCAAGATCTTGACAGGGATATTTGGACTTTTTGAAGACGGGGCAGCATCCTTCCTGGAAAGTGAACAGGCACCTGGAGCTGAAAGGCTTGAGACTGGAGGAGTGGTGTGAAAGGAGGAGCGAGCCCTCCTTTGTTCAAAACAGCAGAGCACTCAAAAGTTAAGTGTCATGAACTCTGAAATACTAACAGGAACTGTTTTCCACTTATTTGTAAGCTCACTGTCCATCCGTTCATGTAGTCACATATGCATGTCTTCACCACACATATAGTGACCAGTCCTCTGAGGAAGAGATATGTTGTCATCCCACATGACTCAAGGTGAGCATTGGCTCTCTCTGCCATGTTCTGTCTCCACCAGCTTCCTCCACTCTCTCTTGCTCCCTTGTGCTCTTCCTGGTTTCAAATCTCCTGTGCACACATTTCCTATCTTGTTTTATTTCTGTTGCTGCTACTAAAATATCCAGACCAAAAAAGAAAAAAAAAACCTTAAAGGAGAAAAGAGTTTATTTGCTTACAATTCCAGATTACACTCCATCATTGAGGAAAGTCAAGGCAAGTAATTGAAGGTAATAGGTCTGCTGGCTATTTCATGTAAGGTAGCCTTTGACCAAGGAACTCACGTCACAGCCAAAGAAGTGTGCGTCAGGAATCATGAGGATGTTGCTTCCCTGAATTCAGGCAGGTTTATGCTCAGCTAGCTTTCTTATACAGTTCAAGACCACCAATGGCATGGCCCACAATGGGCTGGGCCTTCCTACATTAGTCAGCAAGAGAATTTCCCACAGACATGGCCACAGGCCAATCTGATTTAGGCAAGTCCTCAATTGAGATTATCTTCTCAGAAAATTCTAGGGTGTGTTAAATTGGCAGTTTAAGCTAACTGAGACAGTTTGGTTTCTCCCAAAACAAGTGATCCAGAATTAAGAACTGATGCTCAGGCCAGCTTGGTCTACATAAGGAGTTCCAGGCCAGCCAGAGCTACATCGTGAGACCCTGTCTCAGCAAAACCAAAACCAAACAAAAACACCCCCCCAACAAACAAACAAAAAAACCCTTTTACAAAAGCATGTCCACTAAAGGACTCTGCATTTTAGCACTTGGCGCTTCCGAGGTCACTTTTCTGATTTGTTCTAGCCCCTCTTCTGCTGATCCCTCCCATTTTCCAGATCTGTCCCTGGCACCACTTGCTCAGAGTACAGGGCTGGCTCACTCCATCTCTGCCCAACTGGATGGCCATACATGGCCAGGCCTCTGGGCCTTGGGAATCAACTCCAAAGCCAGAAGAAGAGTCCAGGAATGCCTGAGCCAAATGAGAGTTCCAGGTTACATAACCCAGTCCAAAATGGGTGTTTCTGGTTTACCAAGAAATTGGGAGATACTCAGTGAAGTGGGTATTCAGGAGACCACAAGGAGCTTCTCCCTCAAACCACCGGGATCAAGTTGGGTGGGTGGGGCCTCCAGCCAACATTCCACACATGTTTGGGGATGAGAGAGGTGAATCGTCTATTGATGTTGAATGGGGAGAATATATAGGCAGGTGTGGCCTCCTAAAACTGGTTCTCTTGGAGCTGGTAGTCACACTGTGTGATCTGCCCTCTAGCAAAGGAACTGACCCCAGAGTTGCCTAGCTGGGTTAGGTTATAGGGTGTCACTATCATCTCCTATTACCCTGGCATGCCAGTTCGTCTCTTTATTTTTAATTCAAGGTGGCAGGGGAAGACCTCTTGATATCAGTAATGGGCTAAAGAAAATCCAGAAAAGTTAAGGGAACAAACAAAAGTCACTGGTGGTTTGGGTCCATTCCCGTCTGTTCTTTCTCGCCCATGCATAGATTTTGTCTCCCATGCCTGTGAGTACACTGTACCAACACTGTTCGTCCTGGCTTTTGTACTGTTATGAAGTCACAACTGTCCCTGTTATTACAGGCTTTATAAACAGCGTCTGGATACCCAGCCTAGGGCTGTTCTGCAGAAGACAGACAGGCTGCCTAAGAAGAGGCCTGTGCCCTGGTTTCTAGAGAGCAAGCGAGCTGCTTTCTTGCCCCAAGTGTTGTTTTTGAAATAGGGTCTCATGTAACCAAGTCTAGCCTCAAAGTCCCTATATAGCTGAGGATGACCTTAAACTTCTGGTTCTTCAGTCCCTGTCTTCCAAATGCTATGGACATGCACCACCACCACCTCTAGCTTGTGTGGTGTTGGGGCTAGAACATAAGGCTTGGTGCATGCTAGGCAAGTACTCCACCAACTGAGTACTGGTGACTTTAATTCTCTTACAGAAAAAATAAATAGTTGGGATCCTCTTTTGTGTGGTGTGCCAGGATGCTGCCCGGGCCTGAAGCCATGCTTTGGGCTTTTGCTCTGCCATGACATTTCCCTTCTTTGGGAGAGAGTTGCCGGGCAAGAGTAGCATGCTGGGTCTGTCCCACTAAAGGCCACTGTAATCATGTGTCTCCAGAAGGAGACTTGAGGACGGGGCAAGGGAGAAAGGTGCAGAAAGTGACCCTCTGTCTCTGGGTGTTGTCCATTGCCACCTGAAACCACTTGCATCCAGTCCACTTGGTCTTGTCAGATATGATATCCTGTACCCAGATCTGAGTCACACACAGGAGGCAGGGTAAGCTCATCCACCCACTGGCTGGCACAGTCACAGTGTGCTCTGGGATGGAGGGCAGGAGCTGGGCTGACTGCCAGTGGTGTGCTGAGAACCATCCAGGGCCTAGGTGGGCATGGAATCCAGAAGTCCTGAGCTCAGAGCACCCAGTATCCTTCCCTGTCTACCTGAGGAGAGATACACAGGCTACAAGTTTGACCCCTGCCTTGTATAGGAAGGAAGGAGTCCTTTGCCCTAACTTCATTCACCAAGGCCAGGTGCCAGATGCTCCCTAGACCAACTTTCTTCTTGAGCTGGCGGCATTTGGAGCACTGAGCACCAGTGTTCCCACCACCAACCTAGTGTCTGGACAGATGGCTCGATGGAGGCCTTTTGCTGGGATTGTGAGAAGAACCTGGGAGGGACTTCATGACAGAGAAGAAGAGTGTGTGAGGCTGGCACATCCTAGGCATGAAACCATCCTACAGCCAGGATACCAGGCCCACTGCTGCCTGCCACGGCCGGCCTTTGCAGCTGTGTGTGTGCTTGTCTCCAAGGGCTGCCTTCATCCCTGCCCTGAGTTCTAGACCACCCTTCAGTAGTCACTGCAGTTGCCAGAACTGAAATGTTCACCACCACCATAAACAACTTAGTGATGCTGTCTGCACAGCCACAGCGGGTAGCCCTTGCTTGCTTTCAGGCAAGCCAAAGGGCCCACTGGCATAAGACAAGGCTTCCCCAAAGGCCTTGTGGATGAGGAATGTAAGTACATAGAGACTTAGCTGAGGAGGGTACCCAAATTTCTCCTGCTAGCACCAAGGAGGATTTGGGCCTGCCTGGTCCTCCATGCCAAGTGAAGAGATAGATGTACAGCCAAAGCAGGTAGATTCAAGTTTTTTCCATGGTGTGGAAGTACCAAGGGTGCATGAAGAGCCACTGATGGGAGGATGTGAGGCTGACACCCAGAAATACTGGGAGAGGAGGAAGGAAGGATGGTAGAGATGGGACTAAATGGGGCTTCCTGGAGATGCCTAGAATCACAGGCCTGTTCCTATCATCACAAGTCAGCTGTGCAAGATCCAGCCTTCTTCTTACAGGGACTCCCACTGCCTGGCACAGAAGTGGGGCCTCCCTATGTTCAAACAGACACTCTCTTCTGCCCTCCAGTATCTCTTCTGACTGTTGAATGATCTGTGGCATCTAGATGAGCCACAAGGGCCAGTTCTGTTGGGCCAGGAGGTGCAGAGCTGACCCTGTATGTGGAGGTGTGGCCTCAGACAGAACTCTCCCCGTATTAGTCTGTCCAAGAAAGTCAGAGGTTCACAGGTGAATTTCAGACTGCCCCAAGGAGCCGGTACCTGAGGGACGAGGGTTCCTACCACACAGCGGTTTGCACAGTTCTACTTCTGAAGTGGGTAGGAAGATCTCACAGTACTGCTAGGATAGGGTTCCAGGTGACTAAAGCTGACCGTCTGCATGTGAGTTTTCAGTGTCCATGTGGTTCTGGGATCGTAGATGTAGTCTGGCTGTCACAGGCCATACTCTTCCACATCCAGGCTATGAAGCCGTGTCTGTCTCTGTGCAGCATTGTGGGACCAGCACAGAAGATGGAGTGTGCTTTGGGTCCTCTGGGTATGGACAGAGCTCTCTTCTGTCTGCTCGCTGTGGCTGCAGGGAGCAGGAGGCTCCTTTGTCTTTATTCGGGAGAGGCTGGAAAACTGCCTTTATCTCTGGCCAGTCCTTTCCTTGCATCTGAAGAGCAGTCCTCCAGACCTGTCAAGTGGCAGATGTCTGGAAGAGAGAAACCCGGCCTGTGTAGCCTCAGTTTCCCCATCTGACTTCCAACTTAGCTGGAGTGTGGAGGCTATCTTGGCTGCTTTGGGTGTTTCTTACCTGTGCCCCTCCCTCCCGGCCCAGGTGAAGGTGTGGTTCCAGAACCGGAGGACAAAATACAAACGGCAGAAGCTGGAGGAGGAAGGGCCTGAGTCCGAGCAGAAGAAGAAGGGTTCCCACCATATCAACCGGTGGCGTATCGCCACGAAGCAGGCCAACGGGGAGGACATTGATGTCACCTCCAATGACTAAGGGAACAATCATGAGCCTACAAGGGCAGAGCATTGCTTGCTGCTGGCCAGGGCCCCAGGGGGCCCAAGCTGGACTCTGGCCAGTCCCTAGCCAGGCTGCAGGGAGGCCTCGAGTCACGGCCCCACAGGGCTTGGAGCCTGGGGCCATCACTGTCAGAGGGACAAGAAAATGGGCTGGCTGAGGCCTGGGACTGCTCAGCCTTCTGGTGGAGAGCCTGCTGCTTGGGTGGGTCACCCACTATTGCAGCCTCCCAGCTGCTCTCCATGTCTCTTTCTGTCTTTGTTTTGAGATATTTCTGTTTTAATTTATTTTCCAGGTACCTGCTGTAGTTCTTAGTGATCCTTTCATGTCCCCCTTCCCTATGGGAATAATAAAAATTTCTCTCTTAATGACACAGCCATCCATCTTCAACTGTAGAGCCTGGGCTGGTGGGTTTCAGTTCTTAGTGCAGCGGGGGCTGGTCAGCAAGAGTGTTCAGGGCCCAGGAGCCTGAAGGGTCACCTCGGTTGGGTCTTTGCAATCTCATGGAGGGTTAGGAGGGCTGAGAGTCCTTTTACAGAGAGACTCTAGTGGCTGCTCCAGCTGAGGAGAACCCAGAGGAAGGAGTCCTAGGATGGGTTAAGGAGGTCCCAAGTCTAGGCCCTGCCCAGATGTGCACCTGTCTTGAAGAACCCAAGGCAGCTTTTTTTTTGTTTGTTTCTTTTTCAGATGCAAGATCTTACTCTGTTGCCCAAACTGGCTTCCTAGTCACATCAATCCTCCTGCCTCATCCTCCTGAGTGCTGGATTGTAAGTATGAGCCACCACACCTGGTATCCATGGGCTTGATGGAGCTTTCAGAGGTGATCGACAAAGAAAGGCAACTCTTGTCCTTCTGCCCTTTAGTTTGTCTGTTTGTCTTCCCCCTTGACACATTTTCCTCTACCCTGGAGAAGTTCAATTTGTGTTTCCAACAGTCTTGCCCCCAACCAACACCAAGGCCTGCCTCTACTTCACCTCCCACGGCCTCCCCACCTGTCCACTCTAGCACTCTGCTGATGTGAACGGTAGTCACCAACCACTCTCCCAAGTTCCCCTGGTGGCCATATCCATCCACTTTCCGCCTGAGCTCATCTGTTTCTTCATCTGCAGGAATGCCTTCCTTTTCTCCCTAACCCCTAAGTCTCCATTTTGGGTCCCTCCTCTCCTCTTCCTCTGGTTCATCCACACTTGACATCTCTCTTACCCAGCTCATCGATTCCTGGCTAGACAGTGGTGTCCAGTTACAGTTGGTCAAATCAGCATCCCTCTGTGGTCTCTGCCACCTGCTTGAGTCCAGTCTGCTCTCTGGGAAGAGCATAGGCATTAAGTGGACTCTGTGATTATCAAAGAAGGTCCTCTATGTTGTGGCCAAGAGGGGTCTGTCCCCCTGGTCAGGCAAGGTAGTGTCTCCCCTTTCCTAGTCCTGTGCTGACCTGTGGCCTCTCCTACATTGCTCCTGGTGTCCCTGAGTGTTTCTGATGAGCTGCCACAGCTAAGGCAGGCCTGTGCTATTCTTCCCGCCTGGGAAGTTGGTGAGTGCCCTGTGGACACCTGATCCAGGTTGGAGACCCATTCATGTTGCCTGGGCTAGGTGCAGAAAGCCAAGCACACAAGATTCTTTTTGCTGAGAACACTCCCCCTGTCCTCTGGGTACCTTTTCTACTCTGCCAGTCTCACTGATGTCCATTCCAATTTTGAGGAACCAAAAGACTTTGTTTCTCCTGTCCCCTCCTTCATCAAATGAACACATCCCTCCAATCCTAAGTCTTAACCTAGCTAAGTCTGAATTAAACCCTCAACAACTCTTCCTGCCAATCAAGTGCAGTAGTTGTGTGGTGTGTGTGTGAGTGCGCGCGCATGCGTGCACGCACATGAACAGGTAGGGTGGAAATGAGGAGAGAGAGGTTCCCTTTGAGCACTAGTGGTGGTGGGACAGAATGGGTGATCTTCCTCTGAAGATCCTGCCATGCTTGTCTAGGGGTGGGGGCGTTGGGGGATGGGTCCTGGAAGATCACAGCAGAATGCCCCGTCAAGAAGATAAAGGACTAGAAGGCCCAGAAATCTGCCAATCTTCCTCAGCAGGCTTGCTGGGGCGGGGCAGGGAGCCCCCTCCATCCCCCCCATGTTGTGCCTCTCCCGCAGACGGTAAATATTGGTGTTGTGACTTCATTAATAAAGGCTTCTGTGAGCCTGAAAAACATGGAATCAGGATGAACTATTTTCTGAGCTGTGGGCTTGCCAGGTTTGCTAATTTGGGAGTTTTTGGGCCCTCTCCAGGGAACAAACCGAAGTCTCTCCCGAAGAGACGAAGAGACGCAGATGCAGCCGAACAGTGAGAAGACAGGACTGCTGCTCCTTCATCCCAATGGCCCGTGCCGAGAGAGGGAGACCTGCAAAGGGTCAGAGAGTGGGCACTGGCCTCCTCCCCTGTGTCTGTGTTTGGGTGAACTGCTGGGCCAGGCCTGCCTAAGCAAGCCTGCTTGGCCACTTCTCATCAGCAGTGCTGACCTCCAGAGCCCTGAGGAATGATGGCCTGATTCTTCTAAGCTTTGGTTAAGAGCATGGAGTCACACAAGCCCCACATGTAGCAAGCAGGAGTTCTTTAGGCCCAATCCATGTGCTTCTTCTCAGGGAGCAATCACAATCTTTCCTCTTGTCCACAGAACTTTCCCAGATTGGTCTCTGCATGGTGCTTGCTCTCTTTACCAACCTCTCCTCACAGGTGCTGTGGTTGCTTCCCACAGGGCATCAAGTATTCTTTGACTGGAGAGTCAGGTTCTGCCTAAGAGGAGCCAGCTAGTCCACAGGCCTCTCTGGGTCCCTGCTCCAGGGCAGCCACACAGAGGGAGGGGATGGGGGGCAGCAGGCTTAGCGGTGCAGGCCCAGCCAGCTTTCCTGTCAGACGGCGCTGCCAAGGCGGAGCCAGACATCGGGAACAGGTTTAACCAATTACCCGAGCGCCCCATCTGCTGTCTGGGGTTCGTGTGAGGGTGAGTGCATGTGAGGGTGTTTGGAGTGTCTGGGAGGGCTGTGGGCGTGCGCAAGAGTGTGACTGTGTGGGTGGGTGTGGGCGTGTGGCTGTGCATGCGTGCTGTGCACGTGCGCGGAGTGTGGCTGCACATCCTGGCCATGCCCCCTTGTTTGTCCCAGACTGAAGCTAACAGCTTCTGGACTTCCTTCCCACCCCCAAGAACTTGGGGTCTCAGTGAACAGCCTACCTAGCTACCTACCTACCTCAGCTTCTTGTCACCAGCTCTCTTCATGCCTGGGAAGAGCACTTTCAAGTCACATGTTCAGATGCCCCTTGCTGGCTGCTCACTCACTGTCCTATCCACATTAGTGTGGGACCCCACAGGACCCTCCCAGCTGTTCCCCTATTCTCTCTCGGATATGCCCTTGTCCTGCTCTCCTTGGTTGTACCAAGCTAGCAGAGTTACAAATCTGTTCAGATCACTTCTACACCTACATGTTGAGCCATGAGAACACCAGATGACAGTGTGTGGTAGTGACACCCTCTACATACTCTCAGCACAACCCTTACTCTCTTTGATAAATCAGTTCTTGCTCCCTACAATAAAGGCCTTAGACTGTCACCCCTCTCCCTAAGCCTCTTCCTGGCCATTGTCAGCAGTGAACAATACTTCCATCTTTCCTCCCTTCCTTCTTCCTTCTCTTTTGAGACAGAGTACCATGTAACCCAGGCTGGCCTCATATTTAATATACAACTGAGAATGAACATGAACTTCTGGTCCTCCTGCCTTCATCTCCTGAGTGACCCTGGAGCTTGTACCCAGGGCTTTATGAATGCCACGCAACCAACTCACCTACATCCCCAATCTCGTGGCTTCCATCTTCAGAGAGAAAAATGAGTCCTGGAAGGCATGCCTTTGCGTCACCTAGAGAAGGGAAATTTAGACTGTGCAACCAAGGGGAGGTGACAAAAAGGAACAACTAACAAATCTAAAAGAGCCATGAAGAATGCCGATGTACCCCTTGTAAAATGGGGAGCCTGAACAGAATAGCCCTTAGTAACAATGGAAAGGCTGTGTAGCCCCTAGGCCTGAAGGGGCAGGAGTGGGTGACCAGCAAACCCTGGAGAGGACAGCTGGTTAGGGAGACCCCAGACAGGAGCTGTGACCTTGGATAGAGAGAAGTCTACAAAAGTTGGAGGTCCGGGAAGGATAAAGCCCTCCAGTCTTGCTCTGCCAATCCTGCTTTCCTGCTCATGACTCTAGTGGGGAAGTTAGGCTACAAGGTCTCCCATGAGCCTACCTCTCAGGATTGTGAACCAGGGTGCAGGGGCCTCCTACAGGGACTCACCCCTGGCTCTCCATCCTCTCTGGACACTTCTGTATCTCTTCCCTGTATCTATTCTGTATCTATTCTCCACCTGCCTCCTGTAACCTCCCGACCCTCCTGAAGGTCCCGAGAGCTCTCTGAACTGGGCTCCATTCTGTCTCTTCTCCAGGATGCACACTTTGGTTCCTGGTCTTTTTCCTGCCTTTAGTCCCACCTCACCCCTGCCTGAGTCTCCCTTCTATGCCTCCTGAGTTCAGTGTCAGACTACCATGACATACAGCCATGTCTCTCTGCCAGCTTACACCCAAATCTGAAGAATGGCTTCCACATGGTGCTAGGGAGATGGCTCATTGCTAAAGTGCTTGCCATGCAAGCCTGTAGACCTGAGTTTGATCCCATGTAAAAATAAACAACGCTCCCTGCCCCCTCGCCCCACCCCTGAGTCCATGGCTCAAAAAATAAGATAGAAGTCTGGAGAGAGGGAGAGATGAGATGGCTCAGCAGTTGAGAGTGTACACTGTTCTTGCAGAGGACCTGAGTTCCTAGCACCCATGTTAGGTGGCTGACAACTGCCTATAACTCTAGCTCTAGGGGATCTGATGCCTCTGGCCTCTGAGAGTGCCTAAACACACACACACACACACACACACACACACACACACACACACACACACACACACTCACGCACACACGTACTCACTCGTGTGCTCATAATTATCTCCACAAGTTATAAGACAGAGGCTTACTGGCTTCCCAACCCATAAAGCTTGTTTTTGCCCTGTGACCATTCCAGGTCTCCTTGGCTAAGCTTTCTGGGCAGTTTCTGGTCTCTCCACAGAGGTGGAGCTTCCACAGGACTTTACCCTATGCCTTCTCTTCTTGCTAATGTACTGTACTCCTAGATGCAGTCAATAAATAAATCCCGTACAAATCTTTTGCTTTGCTTTGAGATCAGGCCTCAAATATTTCAGTGAGAATGACTGACCTTGCACTCCTGGTCCTCCATCCTTCGCTTCTCCAGTGCTCAGATGACAGCAGGCATGTGCCACCTAAACTGTTTTCCAGTATGCAAACCTATATACCCAGCCCTCGCTGGTCTCCTAACATCTCCACTTGGCTGTCTTCCAGAAACATATAAGAACTCCTGAGATAGAAAGGCTGCCTCTCCTGCAGATTTGGTCTCCTTTCTGTCTCCGTAGACACAGAAATATACTGTCCTTTCTCCTCAGTCTCCCAAACAGAACAGAGGGCCATCTCTGCTACCACGCCCTCCCCAATGACTTTAGTTCTCTCTACCCTTGTCTCTAACATGGTGGCCCAGGCCCTGATTTCGTCACCTCCCATGACCAAGCAGTGTCCCCTACCTGTCTCTTAGCAGCTGCACTGTGTCCACTTTAACCTCCATGCTGCTCTCTGATGAAGCCACTGTCTCCACAGGCTTCAGTGGTCTCACTCACCTCCCCAGGATCACGCCTCTGTTTTGGAAACAGTGGATTTCATGTGATCCACTCTTGGAGTGGCCAGAGCCTTCTGTGCCACCTCTCCCTCCCCATACTTGTACAGGAAGAGGATGAGAGCAGTGTCAGGTAGCCTGGGACTGATAGCAGCCCCTCTGTCCTCACTAGGGATGATGGAGTCTCCCAGTGGAAGAACCTGTTGCCCAACAGTCTATCCATTGTTTCCCACCCTCCCCCGCCGGCCGCCCTTCCCCCTATCGGTTCTTTTCCCATCTCTCCACCTCTCCCCAAGCTTTGCAGTGGGGCCCTGGTTTTTGTACTGACTGAAGAGGCATCCTCTAACCTTAGAAAAGGCTGACAGCAGTTGCCTGGAGGGTGCATGTGGGTGTGGGAGAACAGTTCTTGGTCATTGCCATTAGAGATACCTGGTACTACAGAAAATGGTAGGAAAAGGACTTGGGAGAAGCAGATGAGAAATTCCCATTTGAGGGCTTAACTGGTGGCTAGGGGCGTAGACCAGATGGCAGGAGCAACAGCAGCTGGGGATGGGGGCAGGAGGTGCTGAAGGAGGTCCCATTCTGAAAATAAAGCCAGGCTCCTCAGGCCTCAGGAAAGGGTCACTCATCACTGTTCCCACACCCGTCCCCCTCCCCCAGCATTCTGACTCTCCTAGTCTGTGAGTGGGAGGAAGAAGCCTAGATCCAGGCCAGTCCATGGGGATGCAGGGAAGGAGAGGCTGCATTCTTCAAGTATTAATGGTCTCAGAGCTGGGCAGGAGCTGAATCCCCAGTCTAGCTAAAAACAACAAACAGTTCCCAGGAGGGATTTGTGTATGTCCTGAGAGTCAAGGATTTCCGCACTGATTGGGGTCTGTGTGGCCTGTGAGGCTCTTAGCAAAGAAATTCCCCAGAGACCAGAAGCCTTCTGACCTCAGGTATCACTTTGAATAGAGATCCCATCCTCTCCCTCTTGCCTCTGCCCTCTTCATCCTTTCCAGTGAGGCCCAGAGCCCAAGCTTCCTACCTATATCCCCGGATAATTAGGAAGCACGAGAGAATGGGCTGGTGCATTTCCCCATTGGCCTCTCTACTCTTCCAACAAGCCAGTGCATGGCCCTGTCCTTGCCATTTGGTAGATAAGTACACCAAGTCTCAGTTCGGAAGAAACTTCACCAGGAGATGGTTCAGTTGGCAAAGTGATGAAACCCACTTTTAAAAAGCAAAGGGGCTGGGTATGGTCGTATATGTCTTTAATCTCAGGATTTGGGAGGCAGAGGCAGGTATGAGATTGAGGCCAGCCTGATCTATATAGTTAAGTTCCAGGAGAGCCAGGGCGATGTAGAGAAACCCTGTCTCAAAAAAACAAAACAAGAAAACAAACAAACAAAAACAACTAACCAAAATAATCAGAAGAATAGTAACGAAGCCAGGTGTGCTGGAAAGGTAGAGATAGGCAGACCCTGGGGTCTGCTCATCAGCCGATCTAGGTAACTTGGTGAGTCTCAGGCCAGTGAGAGACCTCAAAATCAAGGTGGATGGCTCCTGAGGAATGGCCTCTGGTCTCTGTACACATGTGCACACAGATGTGCATATGAATGCTCACCAACATGTAACTACACACATGAAGTGCCTACAGTAGCCACTGGCCATGCTGAGTCCAGGCCAGCATCGCTTTCTAATCACCTCAGCTCCTCTCTCCAGGGCTGAAAGATGCTCCGTGGTCCCCAAAAAGAGAGCAGCCCTCCCCCTGGAGACTTCTCTCCGAGGCAGCTTGGGAGAGTTAGGTGGTGATAGTCCTGGTCCTAGGGTATCCTAATTGGGGTCATGACTATTGTAATGAAACCATGGCCAGAAGCAAACTGGGAGGAGAGGGTTTATTTCACTCACACTTCACATCACAGGTCCATCCCTGAAGGAAGCCAGGACAGGAACCTGAAGGCAGGAGCTGATGCAGACGTTATGAAGGGATGCTGCTTACCACCTTGCTCCCCATGGCTTGCTCAGACTGCTTTCTTATAGCACCCAGGACCACCAGGCCAGGGATGGCAGCACCCATGATGACTGAGCCTTCCCACAACAATCACCAATTAAGAAAATACTCTACAACCTGATCTTATGGAGGCATTTTATCAATTGATGCCCCCCCTCCTCTCAGTACTATTGCTATGTCATTGACATAAAAACTAGCTAACACGTGGGGGACTATGAGGGAGTTGTAAGAGGGCAGGGCTCCAGGGCTAAAGCCAAGCACACAGAAAACATCATATCTGCACTTGGTGCAGACCCCTCATAGGTCTCCAGGCCACAGGCAGGCCAGGGTGGTCCCCTTTGCTTCACCCCCCAGTTTCCTGGGTCCACACAGCACAAGAATATACTGAAATCTTAATGTATTCCAGTTCCTTAAGGTAAGTCTCTCCAGTAGCCATTCAGCCACTGGGTTTCTTTTGTGATTCTTTTTTTTTGTCTTTATTTTATTTTTTATTATTTGTGTGTGTGTGTGTGTGTGTGTGTGTGTGTGTGTGTAGCCAGGGTGACGGTGGCAGGGACGGGGGCTCACATGCTACGGTACACATGTAGCAATCAGATGACAACTGTCAGGAATCAGTTCTCTCCTTCCTCCATGGGTTCTGTGGATTAAACTCAGTTGCTCAGGCTTGCATGTCGATCACTTTTCCTTGCTGAACCATTCAAGCTGGTCCTCTGCTGTGGTTTCAACCCACCTTCTTTCCCAGCACCCTCATATCGTGTCCTGAACCCTGGGCCTATACCTTCCCTTGGGGGCCTTCCCACAAAGTCCCCAGGCTGACTTTACCTGACCCCTCTGTTTCTTCATTCCTCCCCTCTCACAGTCCTATAGTTCACAAAGCCACAGCCATGTGTTTTAAATCCATGTTTATTGCCCACAGCTCATTAGTATGGCATAAATCACATAAATTGAGAAATTTTCTGAGGTTAAAAAGACAGTCTGAAGTCCCTAGGTATGCTGAGGCTTACATGCTAGGGCCTCACTCACACCTGCCCAAGGCTGGAAGCCCACAATGGAACTGCTCCCCCCACTGGCTCTTCTCCTCCCCCACCCCCACCCCATTCTGGGCCAGAGGCTTCAGACAGAAGACATCCAAAATCAGGAAGTGAGGCACAGTGTACAGACACCCTGATTTGGTGGCCAGCTTAGCATCTTGGTCTTTTGGTTCCTACACTCTCAAATTACTTTCCAGAGATGGAAGAGCATCCTTGGAGCCTCAGGGAATGTTTAAAGTAACCAGAGGAGAGGTGGCCAGGAATGTCAGGACTAGAGAGCCTGATGTAGATATACCCCAACTGCTGGCAAAAGTAGATCCAATGAGAGCGCATCAGTGCCCGTTCCCCCCAGGCCGGTTTCCTTTAGCCTCAGCAAATAGGGGCATTTGCGTTTGGATTCACAGAAAGCTTCCCTCGTGGATTTTATGAAGTCAGAACAGGGTTTAGCAGCATGGCTCAGGATTCTCACCCTGAAAGACCCTTTGCCACTTCATCTCCAAAGGAACGGCCCTCTCAGCTCACCTGGACTTGTACTTAGGAATGTGGAAGAAACCACCCCCACACAAAGCAAACTGATGAGGGATGCTGAGGCAGCACAGTGACAGCCAGTACAGAGTGAGAGCCGGAAGAGGCCCTGGTCTGTAGGCAGAGCTGGGTGAGGGCGGTTTTGGTCCCAAGATAAAATACATAAGGACGAGGCTCCATGACAAGTGAGGGCAGGGAGAGCTGGGAATGAAGTTTTCAAAAGAGGCTCCAGACAGATCTAGTCCCCGGTCAAGGCCTGGAGACCATGGTGCCAATGCCCATGGCAGAGGTACCTCACTGCCGCCACACCCACCTTAAAATTCTGCCAGGCAACCTGTGGCCTTGTGGCTGCTGTCCTGTGCCAGCCTTTTACTGCAACCATACATGTCTACCTTCAGCCTGATACCTCCTGAGTCACCAGGGGGACGTTCCAGGGTCACAAGCCAGTGCTCCCATTCTAGTGGGGTCAGATGAGAGCTGTGTGAGCGTATCTCCTTTCTGGGGATCTTATGGATCAGGAGTCACCCTACTCATCCCCACCCAGACCCTGCCTCCCTAGGAGGACCTTTCTCTTCCTCTATGGCCTACAAATGAGATGGAGTCAAGAGCCAACAGCAAAGAGGCCTCTGAGTCTGCAGCAGTGAGAGACGGCACATGGAGTGACCCCCGTGCCTGTCTTAGGCATCCATACTGCCTCCTCCACAGCCATGAAGTGTTTGGCACAAGTCAAGGTCTTCCAGGATGTGGGGTCATATACAGAAGGCAAGGTCCTTTTTTGAGGCCAAGTTCTGGCCATTTGCAGGGGAGCCTGATACCTTTTCCGGACCAGAATCCACCTTAGAGATATGCTTGGAATGCACAGCATCTGAGTCAGAGATGAGTCAAAGGCCTCGTGGGGACCCCATTCAGTCATTTGCTTCCAGGCAGGGGCTGGAGGCTCAGAGATGCAGGTGGCTTGTCCATTGCCACACGGCCTGACAGTACCAGAGGGAGGATGATGCTACCTCTCAGGCAGTTGCCAGGGATCTGGCCTTGCACCCTCAAGCAGGAGACTCCCCTATGCAGGAAGGTGCGGGATGTACAGTGTCGGTGGCTACAGACTGGACAGCTGTGGGCTCAGCCCACCTTTGCCCCAGTATAAAACTCCAGCTACTCTTAGAAAAGAATCTTCCCCCAGAGAGCCTAGCCAAGCTCCTCTTCTTGTTCATATAAAACAATGTTCCTTTGTGGGGCTCCCTGATTAGAGCCAGGATACTCTCAGGGGCCTGGAATCCATAAGAGTTCCATGAAAGATGGCCCATGCCTGGGTCACTGATTTTCACTCCACTGTGGTGTGGACAGGAGCTGGCTACATTCAGAGCCCGCAGCTCCTGGAATCTTCCAGAGGTCTCTAGTGTGCCTTGAGCATGAGAGCCAATTCCTGAGAACCTGATTATGGCCAGTTCATCCTATGGGGTGCAGACACCTCCTCTTCCCTCCCTTCTCTAACTCAGGGCCCATTGGGCCTAGCCATTATATTTTCCTTCCATAATCCAACCCAGTTCCCAGGCTCCTCTGGCTTCCTCTACCTGTCCACCTGCTGCTTCTGGTCAACTGCAACCAAGGCTCAGACTTGCTTCTAATAAAAAATTAAAACAAACAAACAAACAAACAAAAGCAACATATAAAAGGATCCTAATTCTACCCCAGGAGCACTCTACAGTTCTTCAGATCACACAGAATTGTGCTGAGTGGAGTTTAGACGACCCCATGTAAGGCCCAGATTTGCACTTGATTCTTTTTGTGTAGGAAATGTGTGAGAATTCCTCTCCCCTATGTTAAAATGTGAATGGTTAGTCTCCCTACTGCTGGAGGTTGACTGCTTCCCAGGCAGCCCCTCCCTGCAGACACAGCTCATGAGACTCTTTCCCCACCCCAAGCATCCGGCCTGGGTAGTGCTGTGTTTCCAGGCCGGCTCATCTGCACTCACAGCCCCTTATTGTACACCACTGTCCGGCTGCTTGTAGCCCGGGCTATCTCAGGCTCCAACTGGGAGGTTTCAATCTGAGGAGAGAAAGAGAAGAGTGAAGAGGTGGGGAGGGCCAGGAAGAGATGTGCAGTGGATCTAAGGACTTCCTTGGTACCCACAATTCTGCCCCTGTGCGTGTCCCCCCTCCCTCGCCCCCTGCCAGTGCCCACATGTCCTAATGAAGGGTACGCATGTTTCCTCTTGTATCACCCTTCCAGCTCAGGGCTAGCCTCTTTCCTGTCTAGATTCTGGGTTTCCCTCACTGCAAACGAGGGTTCTCCATACTTCTGGAACATTTGTGAGCCCCCTACCCACCCCAAGACTACCCCCTTGCAGCACCCTACTCATTGTTCTTCTGGACTAATAATACTGCAGGTCTCAGATACTCCATCTATCTCTGCACACACACACACACACACACACACACACACACACACACACACACCCACGCACGCACACGCGCCGCACCTGAGATCTCAGGGACCATTACTTCAGCTCCTTCCCAGCATCCTTCTAACCCTGATTGGCAGAAGCCCTGCTTTAGAGGTCTGCCCAACCAGCCACCTTTCCATTTGACCACCCCACAGAGATCCTCAAAATCTGCTGTCCCTGACTTCAGTCTGACCCTTGTGGCAACTGGCAACAGCTTCCCCCAGGCCCACTGCCTAGTCAAATCCATCTCATTCAGTCTCTGCCGTAGTCACCTCAGCAGCTCACCCACAGCTTCCTCCTCCTGAGCTGCTGAGCCTGCTTACTTCTAGGCACTAGTGAGGAGCTGCTCTCAAACTCTTCTAATCAAACCCATAGCCTATCAGGGTCCACACTCTGGCTGTCCCTCCCCCTTAGAAGACAGAAATCCACCTTCCTCTTGCCTCTGCATAGCCTTCTCCTAGATGTGCTCCTCCCCATGAGTGTCTCCACATGCCATAAGAACCTTGCATCTGAGGAAACTCCTTTTGCACCATGGCAGGCTTGCCTGCGGCCTGCTATTTCTTCTCCCCAGCAACCATGTTTCTTTAAATTGTCCATTCTGGTCAAATCCACCTGTCTACCTCCCACTGGCCTCAGCCCACAGCAAATCTGGTTCCTGTTCCCATTATCCTCTATGAAAACCTCTCTCTGCAAGGTCACTGTTACCCTCATTTCACAACACCTATTGGACACTTCCTGGAGTATTTGGGGCTTGGTCTGGCTGAGCTCCTGGTGGCTGTCATGTCTGAGGGCTGTCCAGCTGTGGTTCTCCCTCGAGCCACAGTCCAACAGCTGACTGCTGGCTAGTCAAAGATGATGGCTGCTTTATGAGTACATAAACTTAACTATTCTGAAATGGAACTGTATCTGCCATTTCTCCCTACCCCAGCCCCAGCTCCATGTTATGGGCAATAACACCCTTATCAAATGGCTGTCTAACCAAAGACCCTGTGCTCCCTTCCCTGCCCCTCCCCTCCCCCCCCCTGGTTCATTAGACAAATTGGTCTATTCCCTGCCTCACCCCAAATCTGCCTGGGTTGCCGTGTCTATTAGAGGCATTCACCCACCTCCATTCTCACTCCCACCCTATTTTTCTCTGTCTTCAGACAGCTTTGCAGGCCTAGCTGTAGACCATTGCTCATCTAGGCTGGGTAGGACAACCTTTCTGGTTCAAGAACCCCGCATTTCTTTTTTTCCCCCTTTTTTAATTTAAATTAGAAACAAGCTTGTTTTACATGTCAATCCTAGTTCCCTCTCCCTCCCGTCCTCCCCTGCTCCCCACTGACCCCCACCCCGTCCCATCCCCTTTCTGCTCCCCAGAGGGGATGAGGCCTTCCATGGGAGATCTTCAAAGTCTGTCCTATCATTTGGAGCCGGGCCTAGGCCCTCCCCCCACCCCACCCCCACCCCCGTGTGTCTAGGCTGAGAGAGTATCCCTCTATGTGGAGTTGGCTCCCAAAGTCCATTCATACACTAGGGATAAATACTGATCCACTACTAGAGACCCCATAGATTTTGGAGGCCTCCTCACTGACACCCACTTTCAGGGGGTCTGGGTCAGTCCTATGCTGGTTTCCCAGCTATCAGTCTGGGATCCATGAGCTCCCCCTTGTTCAGACCCCTGAATTTCTTATATCCAAGTGATATCACAGAGTTGGGGGGCTGACTGCTCATTCATCCTCTATCTTTCCATGTCAGATCACAAGAACCCCCTGACGCAGGCCTGTGGATCTTGTTCACTCTGAGTCATTAAGGCCTCGAACAGTGCTAGAGTCTCTCTGGTTGAATTAATGAATAGAAAGAAAATGAGCGGCAAACAACTAGAGACTGGATCCTTCTGGAAACCACAGCAGCCCAGATGTTGGCCTTCAGCTTCAGGTTAAGCCAGAAGGGGTAGCACGAGGTGGACCTGTGAGGGAGCTGCTCTCTTGGTGATGACCCCGCCCCAAGCTTGGCAAGATCATGGAACTACCAGGCCTTTATGTTGTAGTTCAACTGAATTTGATCCTAGGTACACGTAATACGTGAAGTCATGGAGGTCTTAGAATGTGGCCAGGGGGTGGCACAAACAAGGGAGATGTCAGGGAGCTCAGTCAAGACAGGGTATGTTGGTCAAGGTCCAGGCAAGAGGGAGTTTGGTGAGGATTAGAATTGGTGGGCATGGATGGGACCCTGGAGAAGGGGTGCCTATCCCCTGTCCTCCTCCATACCCTAACACTCTGGCTACTTGAGATGGCCAAAAACACAAGAACTAGGCTCAGGACCCAGGACCCCTCCCCTGAAACTGCCTTCTCCTGCCCCACCCCTCCACCCTGAGTCCCCTCCACCCCACCAGCTCCCCTCGTCCCCATGCTGCCACTGACACAATGCACAGCGCCCACGCTTAAAAATCTAAATGCTTTTGAAAATGTTTAACCTAGTTAGACAAATTAGCAAAAATTTGTGCAAAACAATTTAGGTATTTAAAATATTCAATGTTTTTAAAAAACTGGAAAACTGTTCTTAGCTTTCAGCTGCAAAAACCAACAAAATATAACATCCCAGCAATCTTACCATGAGGTGTAACATAACCCTTCGGGAAAGCTGTTAAACAGCTACCGAGGCATCCTGGGAAATAGCACTTCATTTATTCAAATGCACATATGTCAGGCTTTTGCACCATATGTCATTCCAAGCTATTTACAGTAATAATTAAATCTTAATCAACGTTTAACCTCTGTAAAATGTTTGAAGAATCCTAATCACCCTTCAGACTGCACTAATGAAGGAGAAATATATAAACATAAAAGGAAAATGATGCATAGATACCACACTGGAAAGAACAGTAATTGCAAAATTGTATTTCTTTTAAATATAATCAGTAAATGATGTAAAGTAAGCCAAGGAGTATTTTAAGTTAAGACATCTTGGATGTCAGAGGTGTGAGCAGCTAATTTTGTTCTGCTACCCATAACAGATGTAGCATATTTTATTTTAGTGCCATTATTAGCAGCTCCCCATGCAGCTTTCACTGAAGCACTGAGGCCCGCATTAAAATCCTAGAGGCTGCTCACCACTGAGGTGGAGGACAGAGGCCCAGGGCCACGGCCTGCAGGGCCCACTTCCCACAGAACACAGCACCCCCCCCACACACACACACACAAGACTGAGGCCTCTCCATCATGGCACCCGGGCTCCCATGGGCCCCCACTGAGCTGAGGGCAGCAGGTAGGATGGAAACATGTGTGGGGAGAAGCAGGCAGAGCAAGCCTCCTGGGGGAGGTGGCCCAGGCACTCTAGATTAGGGTCTTGGGGACAGAGCCACTACTCCTGCTCATTTTCATTCAGTGTGTGTGTGTGTGTGTGTGTGTGTGTGTGTGTGTGTGTGTTCACATTAGCCAACTCCACACACTCAGGCTGGGTGAACAGTGATGGACAGGGCCAGCCCACTGCCCTGGAGAAGCTGGAAGTCTAGGGGAGGAGTCAGAAAGTGAAAGCAGATGGATTCCTGAGAGACAAGCAAAGTACCATGGAAACTGGGGAGGGCCTTGGGGTTACCATGTACTAATGGAGGAACAACGAAGGGGACTTCTCAGAGGAGGTGGGCCAGGAAGAGAATGAAGGATTTGGATAAGAGAAGGCAGGCAATACTTGCTAGATTAAGGGAGAAAAAGCAGCTGGCCAGTCAGCATGTGCTATGGAAAAAAAGAAGAGTAGTGGTGGTCATACGGGACACACAGATGTCAGCCTAGGACAGGCAAGACATCTTAGACTGCCTGGAGGTGTCAGCTATTATCTAAGAGAATTAGGGAGCCATGGAAGGATTATGAGCAGGGACGGGCACACCCAGGTTTTAGAAAGGCCTCTCTGGCCATGGCAGGGTGGGGGATGGGAGGAGGGAGAGTGAAGGGGCAGGGAAGCCTCCCAGAGGAGCAGCTGTTGGAACCAGAAAGTTCTTAGGTCCTGCCTTCTGGTGCTGCCCATGGGGGCAGGAGCAAGAGTGTGCCAAGGAGCCTTTCTGAAGATGACATCCACAGAGTTGATGACCAATTGCATGTGGGGGTGAGAGGGAGGTGTCGAGGATGACTGGGCGTTGGATGACTCCTAATTCTAGCTTGGGAGCTGGGGTGGTGGTGATACCATTCTCAGAGGCAGGGAATGGGAGGGGTTGGTTTGGCCATGCTGAGGCTGGGGTGCCTGTGGGTCTCCTGAATGGAACGGCCTGACAGGCAGATGGGCCCAGGGTTCTGGGCTCTGGGCAAGAGGGAGACGGATGTGTGCACACAGCCAGCGCCTCCAGAGTGGGGGAGCTTGCCCGGAAGAGCAGATGGAGGGGAACAGGCACATTCTAGGGGTGGGGAAGGGAATGAGCCCAGGAAAGCAGCTTTAGGCGGCCAGCACAAGCAGCTGAACAGTGACATAGGGTACCCAGACACCTCAAGGCTCTCAATACCAAGTGAATGATGTCTTACAGTGGCCCCAAAGACGGCTTCGCTCTTAGAAGCTAGACTGTGGGGGACCCCCTGAAACTGAGACTTCCCCATGCAGACTCAGTGCTGACCTTGGGTGCGTGCAGTCCTACTTC